TACCCAAACTTAATTAATTCCACTAACAAAATTAAAAATCATTACAACTATAGCATTCCGTCATGGGTGCAACATTTATCTTATGGAGGGCTTATTAAACCTACTGATGAATGGCTAGCAAAAATTATAGAATGGAATAAATATTTCGAAATATATCACGATGAATCGTATAAAAAAGGCCCCGGAGTTGTACAGAATTAGTCAGTGGAAACAGTTTTACCTTTTACTTTAATAAAAGATTTTTGTAAATTAAGAACTATAATAAGAATTAATTATAGAAATCTTAAACAAGAAAACTATAAAATATTGAAAAGAATGCCTTCTGAAAATGGTGATTGTCGAAAAAAAATTAAAAAGTTAAGTAAGATAATCACATATTAAAAAATATAGCTCATTAATTTGTTAAATAAATATTAGACAAAAGACTTGTAAATTTATTGACGTACAGTACACTTATTAAATCCGAAAATTCTACAGTAGTTTACATTTAGTAGTAATTTAATAATTAATTAAGAAATGATTTAATATTTTATCGTATTTTGTTATTTGAAAGATCTGTCATGTTGAAGTAGAGGGCTTGCTGTGACGTCACATAGATCCAAGGTCACGCTAACAAATATACGGGATCTGGCTATCCTTGTAGTTTAAAGTCCTTGTGTCCGGGTAAGCAATTTTGAAAAGGTGGCAACACTAGCTGCGATGTTGAACTCGTTTCTAACTACTGCTTGACTCCTCCCACCGCTAAAATTCTAGCTGGTTCAGTCAGCTGTTTTTTATCTACGCTAACTTTCACTAGTGACGTCATTGTTTTTGTGTCTTCGTACGATTTGCAAAATGACTGCTTGTGTTGGGCTAAACGTATTTTATAACAACCACAAAGTTATTCCCTCATTCTAAAATGACTTCGAAATGTAAAATTATCATACGTTGGTATAACAGATTACGAATACATTTAACGGAAGATAGCGGTCCATTTCGTTGATTACAATTAATAATTGCTTCATTAATTTCGTCACGATCTGACTCAGCTTTCATTCGAATAATTGTATTATTTACTTCATCTTTTTCGATCGGTTCGTTTGCGACAATTGTTGCAATCATAATTTTAACTTCGTCCACCATTTTGCTCAGTTGTCTAGCTAAGAATAATCGTTCAACGATGCTCAGAACATTCTTAGCTCCGCCCACTAAACTACTCAGAACTCTAACTTAGGTGTTCTGCGTTACTGAACACGATCTAGGACATTATTATGCATCTTAAGTTTGTCTTACAAGTAGGGAATCATGCACCCATGCAGTGTCCACTGGAATAAAATTTGTAACATTTGTTGATACTTTTTTAGATGTTTCGTAGTCTAAACTTTGTATGCAACGTTTACTTTTAAATAACGACATTAAGTTCGGTCATAAACATCTCGTTTATTGTTCGTCCTCTTCTGATATCGTTTTCCTTTCGCGCCTTGTTATGCTTACATCAGCACTGAAACTCTTGAATACTGTAAACCAGGAATCATATGAGACTCTTTTTTAATACTGTATACGTTACAAAATTCACTCCAAAAGACTAAATAAAGGTCTCTTTATTCCTTACAACAACGAATCTTCATACAACTTGTATAATCTCAAAATTCAACTTGAAAAATTATCCTAACGTTTCATCTGTTATCTGTTTCTTTTTGTTCTCTTTCTTTTCGCATCGCATCTATCTTAATTCGATGCCAGAAAAACAAATAAAAACAGCAAATCGCTGGTGACGCCAGGCACTACAGAATATATTTTATAAAATAAAGCGTTACTGTTATGAACAAAAGAAAATATATGAAAAAATTTAATAGACAGAAGCAAAAGCTGTACCATGATGTCATATAGAGTAATTTTTCATTTTATGGAATCACTTTATAAAGTATGTATGCGATAATTTAGTTAAAACAAAGACAGATGATAATTTTCATATTTCATTGTACTATGTACTTTTTGAAAGTCTTACTTGTTACAAGAATAATTTCTCGCAACTCCATTCATATTATCAATAAAATGATGATAATAGTCTCTGATTACAAAATTTGAGCAATTTAAACATCTGGCGGATTTGCGCCCAAACTTGTAGATTTTCAAACGCCATCTAGCTGCATTTTCCGAAAGAGATTTGACAATCAGCACAGGCCCAGGAAGACAGGGTCAAAAATGACGGGCAGATGGTGGCAGTCTACCACTCTGGGAACCCAAGATCGAATTCAAACAGTTCGAAAAATCCCAGGGATTTTCCGGGGTAGTTTATCCAGATGTGTCAAGCTCCATCCGTCATCATTCATCCGCTCCTTTCTGGGCTTGAAAAGTCTATTATAAACAGGCCAGATGGCCAAGTGGTCAAGGTGACAGCCTACCGCTCTGGGGGATCCGGAATCGAATCCGGTCAAGTCAAATAATCCCCGGGAATTTTTCGGGAGGTGGTCCGTTCTGATATGTCGAACCTCGTCCCTCACCACCCGGCCACCCCATTGTGGGCCTGGCCGAACACATAATGGGCTTGCTAAAAAGAGGCCCTCTCAGGGCGGAGAGTTAAAAAAAAGCCCATAATGAGCTTGCTAAAAATAGCTCTTTTAGTGTCAACAGAGCAGAAAGAGTTAAAAAAAGGGTTTATAAAAAATTCATGACGCGGGGCGCATGTGGCCCAAGGCAAGTTCAAATGCGGCCCGGTAAACGTGTAAACAAAAACGACAAATTTTTTAAAATTTTCTTTTATTTATTTATTTCAATAGCATAAACTCAATAAAAGAAGTTTCACAAAGCCGTAAACCTTTATACATATTTTATTTTTGAGTGGAAAGGAAATATTTTCAAATACTTGGAGATGTGTGAATGAGAAAGAAATACTAAATAAAGCTGGAGTTGTGACTCAAAGAATTATAGACCCAAATTCGGGGAAAGAAGAGAAAGGCGAAAAGATAAAAAGTAGTGAGAAAGGTTAAATAGACTTTCTGTTAAACAAATATGGACCCTTAATTTTCCAACCTTCCTCACTTCTTTATCTTTTGTCCTTTCTCTCCTTCCCCCGCATTTGGATCTATAATCCTTTTCAGCACCAACTCTAGCTTTATTTAGTATTCCTTCCAGCGTTGCATGATTTAGCTACTTTGCGCCAAGGTTGGCTATCCTTTTCTTACTTTGGCGTAAAAAATATCATTTGGCGCATTGGCTACTTTTTGGACAACATATTATTTATAAATATATTAGTCGAATAAAAATGCACTTTAAAATGGTGTTTTGTCATTTTTTTATTAATTAGAGACCCAAATAAAACAAATATTTGTGTTTTTCAAATAAATTTTTGTCCATCTCTTTTATAATAAATGAATTCATCTATCTCTAAGTAAAAATTGAAAGTGTCTGTAGAAGTAATTTTTTAAAATATCCTTTTTCGTGATAAAGATTTAATACTTATTAATACAGTATTCTCTCTCGTGATTACTAAACCATCAAATGTATTTCTTCCAATTCTGCTTGGAAACAGACAGTCCGAATTATGAAATTCTCCATGATGTCCTACAAAAATTTACATTATTCAGCGTTTTACCAAAATTTCGGTGCGCACTATAATCTAGACATGTTAATTGGGCCACAAGTATATATAATATATTCGTGGCCCAAACTCCATTACATCTTCCAATGTGGCCCAGAGAAACAAAAAGGTTGGACACCCTGGTTTATATTATTGTTTAAAATGATGACAGATTGAATAATCAGTAATTATGTTTTAAAATATTAACCTGATTGCAATTTTTGATTAAAATGAACGATTTAAAAACTGTGTTTGTAAAAATGGAAACAAAGAATGCATTGAAATATGCAAAGAAAGATCTTTTCATGTCCAAATATCATTTCATATAGAAAGAAATATAAAATGTATTAATGATGATATTGTATCTGTTACCAGTAGCGTACCTTAGTGTGGGCGGCAGGAGCGGCCCGCCCCGGGCGGCACTTTTTAGGGAGGGGCAAAATTACCTTATAGGGGGCGGCAAAATTTCATAATGAATAATAATAATATCTTGTAAAAATTTGAAACATCCTAATCTATACTTGCATCGCGCCTACGATAGTGCTATCGTCCGGACAGTCCGGAAATCGGCTCGTCGGGTGAATTTGTAACTTTTTCATCCGAGGAAATCCTGTGAAACCTGTTGACCTTTTTTTTCCTTGTACGATTCATTTGCGTTTATATACATCACTAATATCCAATAGAACTATTTTAAACAGGTCGCTGCACCACCATCGAATTTTTCATTTCTTGTTCTGTGACAAAACTGAATTTTGGTCTTTTAAATTGAAATACCTAAATAAGGGGGGCGAAATTTTCCTTCGCCCCGGGCGGCTGATACCCATGGTACGCCACTGTCTGTTACTGTAAATGTAAAAGCCGAGATTGAAAAAAATATGTCGGCCCCCGTTCCTCATCACCCGGCCGACTCCATTTTGGGCCTGGCCGAACCCATAATGTGCTTGCTAAAAAAGGTCCTCTTAGTTCCTACAGAGCGGAAAGAGTTAAAGCGTAGAGAATACATTATTTTCAAAAGGTCTATGATCTGTTGATACAGTGAATTTTAAGAGGCAAAGATTGGTGTTTGCCAACTCAAACTATCTTTCTGTCTGACTGTATCTTCTATGTAATTAAGATAACATACGCTACAGGTCTAAATTGATTATTTCGATGTTCTTGGATAATGCAACTCGTAAACAGCAAATAGTTACAGGATTATCCTGTTTGTAATATGACAAAATTTTAAAAATTTAAAAGCTCTTAAACAATAGGTAAATATTCAAAATTTAACATATTATAAGATGTTAGCGAAATTATTTAATTGTAATGTTTTATCACAAAAATTTACTTTATCTGTATTCTAATCTTTAATTATTATTTTTATATTAGTATTATATACATTTTTGTAATAATTAATTATTTTTTTATTTTTCTTAATGATTTATTTTAAAATTGGCAACTTCGAAAATTATTTCGTGATTGAACATGGCGCATCCCATGAGTGAAGATGAGGACGAAGGCTACGAAGGTTTAGATGATGATTATTATGCGTTTTTTAATGTTTCCAAAACCGTAAGTTCAATTTTTAACAGAGGCAATCCTTAAAACATAATTTCCAATAGATTTTTTATACATAATTATGCATATAAACATAAATGATAATTGATATTAAAAATAAAAGTATCTCTGAAGAACCGGCAATTAGGCATTTTTACTGGTTTATTAAATAAATTGATAAGCATTACCAGTTATAACCAACTGTGTATCGCTTCTCATTCGTTATAATTGTTTTTATCATCATTTGAGTAGTATAACATGGATATTATACCACATTTTACACTCTGTATCAGTTTATTTTTATTTGTATGTTTTGATTATGTTTACATGTTGATTATATGCTATTTGAGAATAGGAGACAGATGGTTGAATATTAATTAATAAATAAACATTTATGAAATAATTACAGACAAATGTGAATTATTTTCAGTTAATTATTGCTAATTATTAATATAATCACACCGAACTTTTCTAAGTTATTTAAGATAGTGTTATAGGAGTTTTTCATCAATACTATAGCCTTATTTTTATCTGCCTTCAAAAAGGTGATGTTATTTTCTCGTAGCCATTTCCTGTTCTTATCTAAAGCTTTCCAATATTCTGTTTCTTTGTAGCATTTTTTAAGATGTAAGATGTACTTTTTCTGTAAGATGGTGGCATCTCCTATACCAGGGATGGCCAACTTTTGTGTACATAGGATCTACTTTTCATCTTAAAAATGTGTCACGATCGACTCGTTGTCGTAGGCATAGTCTAAGTCAGGGATGGGCATTCCGCGGCCCGAGTCGCATAAAATGTGTATAAATATATCAATTTCCTAGCTTAAGAAGTATGCAGCAAAAATTCAAACGTTATTTTCTACAACTTATGTGTGTGAATAGTTTTTCCTGCAATGAATTTAGTAAAAATTAAAACGAGAAACCGGCTAACAGACTCACCTCGAAACTAATTTAAAACTAGCAGTGACTAATATTTAATCAAATATTTTTGATACATTACGTTTACATCAGTTCTAGAAGCTAAATTAAGTATACCTATTCTATTTTATAATTATATATGAATAAATAATTGTGATTTACCGGAATTTTTTCCTCTTTTTTATCTTGTATGTGGCTGGCGTTAGTTCAAAAGTTTTGAAATGTGGCCCTTACACAGAAAAAGGTTGCCCATCCCTGGTCTAAGTGGCAAGGGGGAGGGAGGTGTGAAATACATACTAAGTTTAGATAGAAAAGAAAAGCCACAATTTAATTTAAAACACAAAGAAAAGGTACTTACATTTTAAACAGAAGAAAAGTTGAAACTCAACGTTGTCGCTTTCGGGGACCATCACTTCACCCTTCTTCTCTCTTCCGTGTCCCAACCTACTCTCTCTGTCCCTTCTTTTTTTCAGTTTTACGATCTTTTGTCTACATTTCTTATTCCCCTTTTACAACTGTACGCAAATGGATTGCACATGGACCAACAAAACCGCATCTGAGGGAGAACGAGGAGGTCCGATATCACTACAGTTGTGCTTGCGCGTTACATTCACGCATTGCGTTCGGTTACAACTTACAAGTGTAACACATTAAGTCAAGATATCGTGAGCGACCGACCAAAATTGGTTTTGGGATCGACTTGTTGGCCATCCCTGTCCTATACCACCAACTTACACAAATATATACAGGACATGGAATGCGAGGAGATAGGAAAAGACTTTATTGACAAGCTCCAGTCAAGAGTCTATAGATTTACACACACTCAACTGGCAAGGAAGTTAGGACTAAGCAATGCAACAATAGCCTCACCAGCAGTCCCCAGATTATTTGCCTGTGCCAAAATTCATAAACAAGGGATGGAATTAAGACCTATCTTAGACAAAATCAACACACCTACCAGAAAAATAGAACAGAAAAATCCACATGCTCCTGGCAAAACACCTAGAAGGCTATCAGTTTGCAATTTCCAATTCCACACAAGTAATTGAAGCCATACGGAACTGTGAACCATCTGAAGAATTCTGGATCACCATTTAGATTTAAGATTTAGATCACTATACCAATCAGTTAAACTAGAGCTCTGTTTCTGTGGTCTACAATTGGCTCATGACTAAGATGGCAAACAATGAAGACCAAAGACAAATACTATTATATAGTATATACAAGAACTATTGTATATACTATGTTATACATCATGCTTACAACTAAATGGAAAGATGTTTTTTCAAATAAGAGGGGTGCCTATGGGTAGCACTCTATCAGGAGACTTAGCTGAAATTGTAGTACGCCTCATAGAAGCCAAGGTCATCTCCAAGTTCCTTCCCAATATTAAAGTATATAAGCGATACATCGATGACATATGCATCATATGGAAGACAAAGCCAGTCATAAAAGAATTTATAAGATACATGAATTGCAACCCATATGGCCTTACAATTGAATTGGAACAAATAAGCAATAAACAGGCTCATTTTTTGGCTTTAGTATAACATTCAATGGTAGTGGATATGACACAAAGATATACCGAAAACCAAGTGCCATCCCGATATACATCCCAGCTGAACTCTAATGACCCATACAACTACAGAATGGCAGCTTTTAGAGCACTTATCGGAAGAGCCTACACACACTATAACAAAGAACAAGACCAGCAGAGGGAAATAAGGAAAATAGCACAAATTGCTGAAAGTCACGGCTACAATAAAGGCCTAATATATAGAATGGCCAATAAGCAAAAAAACCAGCTCGAAGACCAATTGAATAGAATCCTAGAAAAGGATCCATGACAAGATACATCTCCCTACCATATAGCTATAACATATGAGCACCCTATGCAGTTCCTATATCAAGAAATTGGGGTTTACACTAATACAAAAATAGACTACAGACTAAATAAAATATTTTCTTACTGGAACTATAATCAATATAAATAAAAACAAAACCTTTTAAACATTTCAGCAAATCATCTTAATATCTTAAAATCCAGCAAATCATTTTAATATCTTAAAAACGTTTTTGAACACTTTAAGCGATCATCCTCACTTATCATTCTGAATCGAATGAAGAATTCAAAATTACATAAAATAAAATTCAAAAATCAGTTACACAAATTTACATTAACACTTAGCAAGCTTAAATAATCGCAAAGACTATATAAATTAATTAAAACAAAATAAAGAAATAAAATAAAATATATACATCCAGTAAAAATTATCATAATTAACTTTGCTGCTTATATAAACTACATCAAATCATCGTAGAAAGATTTCCACGCTGATGACAATCCATCAGCATCCCTATTATTAATACAGTTTATGTTCAACTGCGCCTTGTGAATTTCTAATTTTTCTAGATGTTTCACGGCTTGCTTGGATCTTGTAGCCTTGATGATCGATGCCTGATCCCAGAAGACCATGATATCCTGCTGTTTGGCAAAAGCAGCAAGCACCGCAGAGTCTATGTTTTTATTCACCAAGTGCTTATGTTCAACAATTCTTTAAGTTTCTCATGGTTGCTCCTATGTATACCAAGTTGGAGTTAAATCTATGGTCTTTTAACGGTATAGAGCAGGGGTGGCCAAGCTTCTTGATAGTCCGAGCCATTTTTCAAAATTTGAAATTTTTCGCAAGCCGCAATTAAATACGTATTAAAAAGGTATGCAAAAAATTTCAGAATTATATCCGTAGCAAGAGCGATACAAATTGTTTCTTCCAGAACACAATGTCAGCTGTCCATTGCAATGACAGTTTGCAAATTCAAAATCGGTCTGGAGTTGGTCGATAATGGACGATTACGCCACTGTTTATGTTCATTCGCGCAGTTTTCCATGAGTCATATCATTTTTAACTTGGACGGAAATGAAATTTGTTACAACGTTGCACTTAGTCTTTCATATTTGTTGTTAGTAATTTAAAAGACATTTTGAAACACATACGGAACAATAATAATTTTTAAAAATATAATAACACAAAAATGAAAAGGGAACTCGGGTACATTTATCGAGAGCCACAAATAATCATTCAAAGAGCCGCATGCGGCTCGCGAGCCGCAGGTTGGCCACCCCTGTTATATA